TGATGTTTGGTTTTTCTTGTTTTGAGGCTGGCCGTGAGTTTCTGGCCCTCTACCTCCACCCCCTGAGTGTTGGGATTCCAGAGACGTGGGCCACCACACGTCTGTTGTTTCCACTCTCACGTCTTGGCGTGCTTGTTAAGGCTTTACATTCCACAGAGTGCGGTCATTGACCCCACCCTCTTGGCTTTTTGCTCTTAAACCAGGAACTTATTTTCTGACTTTGCCTTCTCCCACTTTTACAGTCAGTGGTTGCCCAAAAGAGCCAACACCTGTTGCTAACATTTGACTTTCAGTCTCCTGCTTCAGGTGTCTTAGTTATCTGCCATTCAAATCATCACAGGAAATTGTTTTTACCAATCTTTGCCAATCTCCCATGTCTGCTTCTCACTCTTTGGGGCCTGTTCTCGCCTCACCATGCTATTAGAGCTGTTAATGACAACAGACCGGGTCCCATTGCAGCAGCTCATAATACCCAACTCTCCCTGGGTTTTTTTTGCTTTTCGGGGTGGGGGTGGGGTAGGGGGGGATGGTGGTGAGAGGGGGTTGTTGTTGTTTTGTTTTTTCGAGACAGGTTTCTCTGTGTAACCACTCTGGCTGTCCTGGAACTCACTATGTAGACAAGGCTGGTCTTGAACTCACAGAGATCTGTTTGCCTCTGCCTCGCAAGTGCTGGATTAAAGGCGTGCTCCACCACGACCCGGCTCAACTCTCCCTGCTCTAAAGAGCAGCGGTTTATTTATATATGCTGTCAAAGGGTAGAATCACAACATTTGAGATTTTTGAGTTTTTTAATTTATTTATTTCATGTCAGTGTGTTTATGTACGTGTCAGGGTGCACATGTAAGGTCTGAGGTCATTTTTCTCTTTTACTGGGTGGGTTCCAGGGATCTACTTCAGGCTTAGCAGCAGACACCTTCACCCACTGAGTCTTCTCCCCAATCCCAAGAATGTTGGGCTTAATTGACTTTATTTTCAATTTTAAAATCTAGCAGTTTCCAGTGGGTCAACCAAAGGTGTTTGGTACAGACAGAAAAGGCCTTGAAAGCAGATACAATAAAATGTAAATAAATGTGCCATTAAAAAGTCATTTCCTTTATGGCAGAGAAAGGGAAACAGAATAGAAAAATAATTGATAGCATCAAGTCGTTTCTTTCGTTGATGTTTTGTTTTCGTTTTCTTGTGTGTGTGTTGGGGGGGGGGAGCTCACTCATAATCCTAGCCATCCTAGAACTCACTGTGTAGCCTAGGCTGGCCTACAGCTTGTAGTGGTCCTCCTCAGGACACGAGGCGAGAATTATAGATAGGAGCCACTACTCAGAGCTAAGTTACTTCTTTGAGTAAGGATTAGGCAGGAGGAGCCTCAGTGTCGTGCTAGTCGAAGCTGGCTTGTTTGGGGCGGGGCACAATTCCTGGGATTTTTCTAATCCAGAGTTTTCAGGAGGTCAGACCAATAGTTTAGTTCCAGATGGGTGTGAATGACTCCATGTAAATTGTTAGCTTGGTCTTTTGGGGATAGGGGAGGTGCTTGGTCCAAACAGTGGCCTCCTGTCATTTTTATTTAGCACTTGTTTGTGGAAGTGTTCTTGTGAAACTTGAACGTGGTCTCCTATTGTTGATGACTCTGGTTTATTTATTTTCAACGTCCTCCTCCTCCCGGGGATTTAGCCCAGGGCCTTGCACGTGTCACATAAGCTACTTACGCCGAGTTATATCAGCCCTTCATTTTGTTTTTGTTATAACATCTGCTTTGGGAAGGAGAGCAAGGGGTGAATTCTAGCATTCTGCGTCTAGAATGGGCTTCTGGTAGTTCAGCTGAATTTACTCACATATCTGGACATCCATCTGTGGCATGTGTGGGGCATTGACGGCTGCAGGGATGTTCTTCCTCTTCCTTCCTCTTCTCTCTTATCGCCATCGACAGTGTGGCTGTAAGGGAAGCTTAGGTTTAAGCAGATCTAGACATCAGGAGGATGAGTGCCATTTTACACATGCCTAGAAAAGCATTGCTGTGTGAACAGAAGAGCAGTGCTGTGTTCATGATGGTAGAAAATGAAAGGCAGGCATGGCGACCAGACTCAAGGAGTCTGAGGCAGGGGCTCAGAAGTTTCATATCAGCCTGGGCTATAGGATAAGACCTTATCTCAACCACCCACCCTGTAACAATAACAAAAAGATCTGAAATAGCCAAATAAAACCAATTTCTTCTCTCTCTCCTCTTCTATCCCCCACTTCCCATCGTCCTAGGAATAGAACCTAGGGCCTTTCTTGTTCATTCTAGGTCTGTGCCATGCTCCTGAGCTACACAGCCTCAGTCTCCCCTTCCTGACTCCTTCTCCTCCATCTCTAGGTCCTAAAACAATTTCCATTCCTGCTTAAACGAACACAGTCCTTCTAACCTTTATTCTCTTTTACCTTAGCCCAAACTGCTCATAAAACATCATACTAAGTTTTCGTAACACTACACCTTTTTCCGGTTCCTTTGACGCCTTGCCAACAAAAGCTTTGAAATGGCTCAAAGGCAATTGAGACTTCTGAATAACTTGCAGGATGTTCAGGAATCTCTCGCTGTGCTTTGAAGAGTCGGGCATTTTCAGTTGCTTGTGCTTAGCAATATTTAACCAAATAGAAGGTTATGAAGGGGCTCTTCCTCCCGGAGGTCAGTATTGATTGTGGGGTCATCGATGGGTTACTGGCGTAGTACCAGTGCGTCCTCTAGGTTTTATGTGGCTTGTCCTGTCCTAACAGTGCTGATGTCGTTTTTGGTCCCACTGTTGCTGAGTTCTTTCGACTGCTGCGGGCACTGAAAGTGGCCAGGATGCGTACAGTCTCATTCCCTCTGTCTAGCCTCTGCCCGTGCCACCTTTCCTCCTCTGCCTCTGTCATCTCAGCAGATCCGAGGTCTCCTGTACCCTTATGCAGGCTCACATCCGTAAACACAGGGACCGGATTTCTCTCATCCGTCTTCTTTTCTTCGCCTCACTTTTTCTTTTTCAAAACCAAGTGGAAAAGGCTGAGGAGGTAGCTCAGTTGGTAGAGTGCTTGCCTAGTATCAATCTCCAGCACCCCATAATTGGAGCATGGGGGCATGTTCCCGTAACCCCAGAATTGAGGAAGCAGAAGCTGGAGGGTCAGGAAGTTCAAGGTGATCCTTGGATATGCATTGCATTCGAGGCCAGCCTGAGCTACATAAGACCCTGTCTGAAAACAAAAAGCAAATATGAAGGAGATAAGCATCTGTATTTGTCTGAGTGTACACTGCCCCCGATCTTTTTCTTTTCTCATTAATGGAAATTTGGGCAAAGTAATTCCAGTGAGATCATGTTTACCGCTGTCTAGTGTCCACAGTTTAGAAGTCATACTCTTTCTTTGCTAAAGGACATACGCTTTGTTTATAGTTTGTTTTAATAGTTGTGTTAATTTGGTTATTCTATTTTTAAGATTTACTTTTATTATTTTTACATTAATGTGTATGTTTGTCTGTGTGCACATGTGTGCTCGAGGAGGGGTCCCTCAGGAGCTGGGGTTGTAGGCAGTTGTGAGTCGCCCAGCATAGGTGCTGGGAACTGGAGAAGAGAAGCATGTGCAGTTAACCCCTCCCTCAGCATCTCTCCATCCCCAGGTACACTATCCACAGGCTGACGTGTGCTCCTTGAATACTTAGAGATTTTTGTGTTGTTGAGGCAGGTCTCATTCTGTAGCTCAGGCTGTCCTGGAATTCAAAACAGGCAATCTTCTATCTCAACTTCCTGGATGCTAGGATTACAGACATTTACAGACATGTCCCATACCTGGCTTGGGGTCTTTTTGTTTGTTTGTTTGTTTGTTTTTTGAGACAGAGTCTTTACATAGCTCCAGCTGTCCTGGAACGCACTATGTAGACAAGGCTGACTCAGGAAGATCCACCTGCTTCGGCCTCTATCAGAGGCATGTGGCTACTTTTAGTTTTAACACATGTTGCCAGAACTTCTCCAAAACTGTTATCCTCAAAATGCTGCAGAAGACCACCTCACCCCCCTCTTCCTTCTGGATGGGATTTCTGTCCCAGGGTGGCCTTCACTCACTCGGTAGCCCAGGGTAACCTTGAACTTCTGAGCCTCCCTCCAAGGTCTGGGATTACAGACCCGTGTCACTCTGCTAGTGTATGTGATGCTAGGATCAAACCTAGGGCTCCGCGTACAGTAGACAAGCACTTCACCGACTGAGACACATCCGAGCTCCGTGCTTCTAGAGTATTGGGGGGAAATTACTGTTTACCAACTGTTGAATGGATGTCTGAATCCTAAATGAAACAACAGTGAGATTTAGGAAAGATTTTGTGTGCAGGGATATTTTCCTTCTACTCTTTTCCCTCATCCTCATGAATAGAAAGCAGGTGGCTCTGGCACCAGGAAAAGACCTTTACTAGATCCCAGCATTCTCAGTTTGATGAGGGTTTAGATAGATAATCTGTAGGGCTGAAGCAAAAGAAAAGTGTCCAAGAAGCTTTTTGTGCCTGGAATCAGTCTGTCTTGTCTCTTCTTCCTGCCCTGCCCTCCCCTCCCCTCTTCTCTCCTCTGAGACTGAGTCTCACTCTGTAGCCCAGACTGACCTTCAACTTGCAATCCTCCTGCCTCAGCTCCCGTGTGCTGGTGTGTACCACCATGCCTGGCTTAGGAACTCATCCACTAATTTGACTAAGAGTCTATAAAATAACACTTAGAGTATGATCTGTGCAAAAGAAAAAAAATGTCTTTAAACATTGGAATAGCACTGGGCTTGGCAGGGTGCTTTAGTTCCAAAAGCACGACCGAGGCTGGTTTGTGAGTCTGCAGAACCCTGTGCCGTCTCTCTTAATTCTGAGTGGCTGTGAACAGCTGTGGGTGCCACGGGGACTCTGTCTCTCTGCACCTCATTTTAGATTCGTGTAGTTGACCTAGAGGACATTTAATGGTGAATGCATTTCCTCATTGACTATTCAGACACTGAGCCTGCAGCCTCATTCTTTTCTCTTCTGTCCCCAGCATTCCCGTGGTTTGGTATGGATATTGGCGGAACCCTGGTTAAGTTGGTTTACTTTGAACCAAAGGATATCACAGCAGAAGAAGAGCAGGAAGAAGTGGAGAACCTGAAGAGCATCCGGAAGTATTTGACTTCTAATACTGCCTATGGCAAAACTGGGATCCGAGACGTCCACCTGGAACTGAAAAACCTGACCATGTGTGGGCGCAAGGGGAACCTGCACTTCATCCGCTTCCCGACCTGTGCCATGCACATGTTCATCCAGATGGGCAGCGAGAAGAACTTCTCCAGCCTCCACACCACCCTCTGTGCCACGGGAGGTGGGGCTTTCAAGTTTGAGGAGGACTTCAGAATGGTAGGTTGGGCTTTCCCTTGTTAGAACAGCCAAGCCTCTCACATGACCATAGTCTAGACATGCTAAGATCTAGACCATTAACCTTGGGACTTGGACTTGTCTGTGCTGTGGTTTCCTCACCTATATGAGAACAAATACGTGACCTGTTGCATAGGGCTGTTCCAAGAAAGGTTCAATGAGGAAATATGTACCTGGCTCAGACTGAGTAGTCAACATCTGTCATCATAATCACTTCTGTGGCACAGCCTGGTTTTGAACTCACTATGTAGCGAAAGATAACTCGAACATCTGATTGTCTTTCCAGCTCCTGGGGTTACAGTAGTATGCTGCCATGATGGTTTCTATGGTGCTGAGATTGAACAGTTACTGCTGTGTCATATGTAGAGACAATATGATATACATCACCTTCAGAGACACGTAGCTCAGTTAGTACTGGGTTTTCCACACTCTTTCTTACTACATAATCATGAGGCCAGTTCTATGGATATATAGGCTAAGATCCACAGGAAGACTTTCTACATGTCTAACTAAAAATGATTGCCTCTTTCTACCCATTTGTGCTCATCCGTGTCTCAGTTTTGTGAGTGCCATTCTGAAGTTTCTCTTACAAAAATGAAATCCTCGGCTGGTCATGATGGTGCATGCCTGTGATCCTAGCACTTAGGATGTAGAGGCTGAAGGACCAAGGCTAGCCACTCGACCTCAAAAAATCAAAACAAACAAACAAAAAAAACCCACACTGAAAACATCGTCACTATTATTTATAAGTGAATTCCTTCATTACTGAATATCATTTTAAGGTGTACAGGGCTGAGTATTGGATATGGAGGGGTAACATTCAGCCTAGATTCTCTCTCTCTCTGTGTTAGGCAATCCCTTAACATCTGTGTTCTAATTTCTCCATCTCATCGGTCAAGACAGTAAGCTCTTTACTGACTAAGGGACAATAAAATTAAGGCACGAATGTCGGTCTGTCTTGGAAAGTACAGGCAGTTCGATACGTGCTTGAACATAGGTGAAGGAACGGTGATTTTAGGATTGATCATCTCACAAAGTGGAAAATCCTGTGAGATGCATCATCGAATGCATTATTTCAAGCCTGCAGTGTAGACTCCTGCATTTTTGTCACAGAACAAATAAAATTGAGTCTTGGTAGAAAAATCTGTGATCACTGCATGATGAATGATCATGTTATTCATGGTGTTTAATAAAGCTGGAAGATGCAAATTTTGTCATCAAAAGAACATGTTTTACTCCACTGATCTCAGTGAGTAGTATTTTGGGGGTGGGTGGGATGCTGCTGCTGATAAAATCCAGGGCTCAGACTTGCAGTGCACATGCTGAGCAAACTGAACCTTCAGGGGGAACTTGCTAGAGAAGCTGGCAGCGGTCCCACAGCACTAACCTGAGACTGATTAGCTTCAGGTTTTAACCATCTTCTTCTGTGCCATCCTCCCCGACACAGCTATAGAATTGAACACGGCCACTGACTCAGATGACTCATGCGTGGGGTTCTCTTTCCCACTGAAGGGACTCAGTAGCCGAACAGTTTTGAAATGAAAAAGTTAAGGAGCATGGATGTGAGAATTTAAGTCCACAATGGGGTGGGGGTGGGGGTTAAACCTGAATTCTAGTTCTGTTTCTGCCTTTACCTGCTAGGTAGCTTTTGCTGAAACATGTTTCTGCTGTGGGCCTCAATTTCATCATCGGCAAACAATGGCGTCAATGTGGGGAGAGGGGGAGGGCCATCCAGGACAAAAGAACTGGAAGTGATGAATGAACTGGAAGTAGCAATCTTACACTGTGTGAAGAAACTAAAGCTTCCAGGCCCTTAAGAGGCTTTTGCATAGTAATGCCTGCTGGGTAAGATCTGGTCTTGAACCCCTGTTTTAATTCAGAAGGAGAGCTGCCTTTGTGTGGGAATGGGATCAGTTCCTTAAGCCTTCCAGTACATGCTATCTTGTCTGTGCACTGGAGAGCCTGAGGTGAACCAAGATGACCTGATGGATTTATGCAACCTCTGTCATGCCTCCATCCCTCCTCAGGGGTTACTCATGCCCTAGGAGAAGGAGTTACTCAATCTGTGTTGGCCATGAGCAAGTGCGTTTCTTAAGGTTCTGAACTGAGAAAGGTCATGTTGTCCTTCAGGCAGTTGCTTGGAGCCTAAGGAACAGACCAGAGCAAGGAGCACATCTGGAGTTTTGGCTAAGCTGTTAGGCCAAGCCGTTTCCATGAGGTATTGGACCAGAGGCTGTCTTCTGTTTCCATGATAAGTCTTGGCCAATTGAAGACAGAATTGAGAAAGATTTCTTCCTGTGTCCTGTTTGAATAAATGATGTTCTTGTATCCAAAGCTTGTAAGGACGGATAGGCTCTCCCACCTTCTTTCTGTGCAGCCGTTCATCCACCCAACACATAGTTTATCATGCCCCTTCTGTGTGCTAAAGTAGTGTTATTCACAAAACACATCTCCTGACCACCTTATGGTCAGTGATCATGTAAGCAAGCGAATATGCAATATATTAAGTATATAGATGTTTTATATATATTAAAATGTGTGTGTGTGTGTGTGTGTGTGTGTGTGTGTGTCTGTGTGTCTGTGTGTGTCTGTGTCTGTATCTGTGTGTCTGTGAAATGAAGGAGAAATAGAGGCAAAGTAAGGATAGTGTTGGGAGGGTCCTGGGATGTGATTGAGGTAACATTGAAACAGAAACCTGGAGAAGTAATAAATACTAGGCCATGCAGATGTTTTAGGCAAATGGATTAGAAAGTGTTAAAGCACATATGTGTCCAGAGTCCAAGCTCCTAGGTGTTGTAGAATAGAAAGCTGAAGACTTAGGAAGATTTAATATATAATCTAGGACATCACTTCTCAACCTGTAAGTGGAGACTCCCACAGGGTCACATGTTAGATATACGGCATATCAGATACTTACATTACATTTCATAACAGTAGCAAAATTACAGTTATGAAGTAGCAATGAAATAATTTTATGGTTGGGGGGTCACCACACTAGGCAACACACAACCAATTGTAACTCCAGATCTAGGAAATCCAACACTGTCTTCTGGCCATCTGGCGCTCGCGCACACGCATGCGCATACACACACACACGCACACACACACACACACACACACACACACACGAACATACACGAACACACAGATACATACAGAAATAAAGTAAGAAAAGATATATACTACTCTCTGTATTAAACAGTTTGCCCAACAATAAAAAGCACATGTGTGTAAAATCATGGTATTGTGCAGAATCACTGCATTTGGAGTTTCAGAACTCCGAGTATCAGGCCCAAGTGGAAAATCTTCAGCACACTCTGAATAGTTAGCACTTGTTAGGTGTGAGGACTGCATCCTAGATATATTTAGCAAATGCACTTACATTTTTAGGAAGTGTTAGATGTTCTTTCTCCAACTTAGAATAACCAGAAAAGACTGTAACTGGTGAGATAGTCATTAAATTAGGCTCTTCTATAAGATATTTTTGATTGAACAAGGCTCTATTTCAGTTTTATTTCTGTTTCATAGAGTCTCTTAATTTTAATTCAAAATTTTTATTATTTTTTACCTTTTTTTTTTTAATGTGTATGGGTGTTTTGCCTGCATGTATGTCTATGTACCAGTGTCTGTGGAGGCCACAAGAGAGTGTCAGATCCTCTGGGACTTAAGTTACAAACAATTGTGAGCCACCATATGGCTCTGGGAATCAAACCTGGGTCCTCTGGAAGAGCAGCCAGTGCTTTTAACCACTGAACCATTCCTCCGCCCCCCCTTTTTTTTTTTAACATTTAAGATCATGGTCCTAACAAAGCTGATTATTTGAGCCAGGATCTTACAGTGTAGCCCTAACTCTTAGTCTTCCTGCCTCTGCCTCCCAGGTGCTGGGATTGCAAGTGTGTGTCACTATTTCTGACTTCAAGTCAATTCAAGATTGGTATAGATTCATTTTCTAAATTAATGATGTAGCAAGCTGGAACACAAAAGCTAGTCTAATGTTAGGTGGGGACCGGTGAGATGGTAAAGATGCTTGCCAACACACCTGGCAGCCTGAGTTCAGTCCCCAGGATCCTAATGGTAGAAGGAGAGAACCAACTCTTGTAAATTGTCCTTTGATCTCCACATGCACTGTGGCACCCCCTTCCCATAAATAAATTAAGTTAATGTTAGGTGGTATATGGCACTGATAAGACAATGAAAAATTCCACTATTTAAACATGACCCTTGCCGGGCGGTGGTGGCGCACGCCTTTAATCCCAGCACTCGGGAGGCAGAGGCAGGCGGATCTCTGTGAGTTCAAGGCCAGCCTGGGCTACCAAGTGAGTTCCAGGAAAGGCGCAAAGCTACACAAGAGAAACCCTGTCTCGAAAAACAAAAAACAAAAAAACAAAACAAAAAAAAAAAAACAAAAAAAAAAAACATGACCCTCCACATGATAAATCCTGCTTATTTATAACAACACGAAGCAATGTAGATTACAGTTAGTTTTGTGGCAGGATGTTTTATCTGCTAATTCTAATGTTTCATTCTCTGCCATGCTTCATACTTTACTTCGGCAAGAGTATTCGTAATACAGCATATTCTTAGCAACAGAAAATATGTATAGAGGGAAAACTCCACATCAATATAGGACACTTGTGAGTTTTATTCACCCTAAGGCTGACATTAGTAGGCATTAGAAAATATTCTTTGCCCAGGCAGTGGTGGCGCACACCTAAAATCCCAGCACTCAGGAGGCAGAGGCAGGCGGACCTCTGGGAGTTCGAAGCCAGCCTGGTCTACATAGTGAGTTCCAGGACAGCCAGGGCAACACAGAGAAACCCTGTCTCGGAAAAACAAACAATAACAACGAAAAAGATATTCTTTTAATTGTTTATTTTTAAAAAAAATCTATGGGTCTATGCTTTGACTAGGATATGATAATAGTCTTTGGCTGAGTGAGGTCAGGAGAAAAGATGCTCTTATTATACGAGTTTCAGTGTTAA